GGGGGGGGGAGATGTCGTCAGTTGTTATGTGTTATGTTTCTTGTAGCAACTGATAGGTCCTTCCTTCCTTCACGTCTGTTATCATCATCCTCATCTTTTGAAATAGGAAGAAAAGAAAGTGGCAGAACGACTGGCCACGTTACCGTTTTGATTCAGTTGTTTGCGCTTGACCTCAGTTGAATGGGTGAGGAGAGGAGTTTCCTGTTGTGTTCATTCTGTTGTTGTTTATCGTTGTGTTTCTGCCCTGGCTTTGACTCTCGGCTTAGATCGGAGAATATAAATCAGTCGATGGCTGGATGCGAGACTGATACAAACGCCATTTTTTAATGCAATTTGGAGTTTGTGTGCGACTTTCACCAAGTCGACGAGGGCAGTGTGCAGAGTTTAATCTTGTAAGATTTATGTTGAGCTGGGGAGTGTTAGATTTCTCTCATTAGAGATCCACTTGTCCGTTCAAAATATGTCGTACTAGAATAAGCTGTTACTTCTGTTTCTTTGAAAAAATTGGAAATTGTCTTCTTTTTTTTTTCTGTCATGTTTTTGAGGTTTTTGGGGAGTGCAATACAAGGTCAGAAGCAGCTACGTGAAAAGTTGGCGCCTGTTCTCGAGAAAATAAAATGTTATGATTTAAAATGTTGGTTACAGTTTGCATTTTGGTGTACTATAAGTTTTGCCCCTTCAGTTTGGAGGAAAATTGTAATGATTTGCTTGTTGTGAAACTTACTAGACATCTGAATGGCGAGTGCGGCAGCATAATAGCGTGGAAACCTGTAACAGGGATGGTGGGACCAGGGAAAAGTTCTGTTATAAGTTATATCCTCAGATCCCTGTTATTACCGGGCCTGTTGTAGATGGTTTCCGCTGTGGTAAAAAAGCAGGTCTTGTCTTTTTCAGTTCCTTTATATTTATCAGGTCACATTATTCTTCCTACCCAGAATAACTTGTGTTACAAAAATGGAATTTGATTTCAACAAGACACAAATCAAAAGTTAATAATAAATATATAATATAATGCAAAGGTGTGATAGTATGATTGACGGAGCTTTGTTTAACCCTATCCGTACGTCGTGTTTTACTATCATATCCATACGACGTGGGGAACTCTGTGCCACCACTTTTCAAAAAGAAAATTTACCTGTTAATCCGATCCGTACGCTTTGCATAGCAGTCTGTCAAAATTATTTTTTGAGAAATTATACTGAAAGTTTCAAAGAGATCTTCGTACCAGAAGTATTCTAAAATGTGTATAAGAATACAAACGCGGAGGTACAAAATGACCCCAGGGCGTACGGATAGGGTTAACACAGAGGAGCAAGGCAAATGTTCCTCTCAGATGGAGGGAGCGTGATGAACTTTCCGTGAAGGCTGTGGTGGTACTACTCTTAGTCCACGAGGGACCATTTCATTTTGTGAATGTCAACAAAGCTGTTTATGTGATCATGAAAGTCTGTACATACTCATTCTGTACGATGTTGTTTTCATGTTTGTGAGCGCTCATAAACGAAATAATAATAAAAGAAAAAAGGTTCCTGGGCTGAATATATCGTTTTTGCCGTGGCTTTTCTATATATTTTTTGTAAAATGTGTAATGTTTGTTTGTTTTTGTCACTTGCCTAGAATGAATGAGTAAATCGTCTGACTGAAGTGTCTTTTGGCCATTCCCAAATGGGGGACATTAACCATGTTCTTATGCACAGTAGAATTGTAAATGGGCTGATTCATCAATGTCATGCTCAGAACTGTGCCTGAACTACAACAGGGAACTGCTGTTTTTTCTTTCCTAATCCTTACTATCATCGTTTTTTTCCTCTACTTCTTTTGTATGTTTGTCACACTCTTGTAACCCGCTATTTCCGGGGTGCCTTGATAGTCGAAGCAGACTTTGTGCTGTCGAGGCTAGAGAGGTGAGCAGAGTAAGCCTAATTCCCAGTAAGGACTTCTCTGTTGACATCCACCCCTTGGCGCTCATATGACCTTAGTTGCGAGCATCGTAAAACCTCCACTAAAAACAACTATCTTCTTTATTTCCCCTCCTTTTTTTTGTTTGTTACTCTTTTGTAACACCTCTAGACTTCGGCACTTATATAACTTTACTGTGTTGCAAAAGTGCCTTAAAACTCTTACTTTTATATATATGAAAAAAAAGAGGGTGCATCTTCACGTGCTGCGAAACCTCGTTATACCGCCACCCTTGGGTCGAGCATGGAGGTGGAATAGAGCAGCTGGCATTTACCGGGGTTCCTGGGTGGTTGGCGGGTGCTCTGGTTTTGTTTGCTCCTTCTTTCCTTTCAAATATCTATCGTCCTGATCTCCCCTCCTTTTTTGTGTTTGTTACTCTCTTGTAACACTTTCGGTGACCTTATTGTGTTGCTAAAGTGCTGTAAAACTCTTACTAAAACTAAAACTAGAATTGTGATAGCCACGACTGCGCAACGTTGAGGGCGATGATTCTGCTGTGTGGCTGTGTTTGAAAAGTTTTGTTTTTTGTTGTTGGTGATTTATGTGTACATTAAGTCGGCATATTAGTGAGTGGTTGGCGGGTGCTCTGGTGGGGGCCAAACACAAGGATCCACTCAACCATGAGTACTCAAAGCCACACACACTGTACACCTTACAGTATGGAGCTGTTTCTCGAGACAATGGAAGGGGGGGGGGGGCGGTGAGGTTGCCGAAATAGCATTTGTGGAGTTGATACCTGTATAGCCTGAAAGGTGAATATTCATGTATGAGCTTTGCCAAGGAACCAAATGTCAAAGAAGAATTAATGTTCACGCTTTTCAAGACGATCGAGGAATCATGAACACATTGCTATCCTCTGATAGCTTCGCGAACGGGAAAAACGGTAGTCATAAATGAAGATCTGCCTTGAGAATGCAGACCGTTGAGATGTGGGAAAGTCATTGGTGCACACATCGTCTACGGACATGGCGCTCATCTACTGAATTCTGCACCCTGGTGACGTTCAAAGGGGTGCCAACGGTGTGTTTTTGACCTGAAGTGGTTGTGGTGTCTGGGAATTTTTTGTTCTGATTCTCTACTGGTCCTAACTGATGGACCATTTTCACCCTTGACATCAAAGAAAGCATTAAGTAAGAGCCCTTTGTATAGGCCAGGGGCCTACATTATGTAAACAATGACCTCGCACCGACAAGACAACTGGTCGCTTTTAAGCACAAGGGGGCTATCCCGAAAAGTGCTATTTTGAGAAAATCGAAAGTAAAGTTTTTGGATCCTTATTCAGTTTCTTTATAAGACAAGGAGAGTTTTCTCTATAACCAAACAAATATACACACCAATGAAACCAAACTTATCCTATGGGTAGGGCAATGCCCACTTTTGGTGCAGGTCAAGATTTCTGGAAACCCCCTTAATCAGGGTTAGCCCGCTTGTCCTAAAAAGCGACCAACTCATGACTGACCGGGGAGGTGAGCGGTAGAGGTGGGCAAAATCAGGATAATATCCGGATAATCGGATAATCCTCAATAAGACATCCGAAAGCAGACTCTTAACTCTATTTCCTGACCCGTTTGCCGAAGTGGGTGCACCCATTTTTTAAAATTGAAGTAGTGCTAACCTGTTTGTCAAAGTGGTTCCATCCCATTTGCCGAATCGGTTCATAACCATAGAGTTACCCTATAGTGTACATATATCTTCATAACATAGTATTAATTACCGAAGAGGTGCACTAACAGTTTATCCGGATTTTGCTAAAGCGACTCATTGCCCAGCCCTGCTGAGCGGGACTCACAAGGAAGGGGCTAGCCAGCAGCCTGCCCAATATGGGGGCCATTCTAGTGGACAACTACACACAAGACAAGACACAAGGTAAGGACTGTGCCCCTCCTACACACTTTTATTATCTCTCTAAAATTATCATTGCTTCAAGATCGTCCGCATACGTAATACATAATAATAATAATAATAATAATAATAATAATAATATTAATAATAATAATATTAATAATAATAATAAATAGCATTTGTATAGCGCATATTCCGCTCAACAGCAGGCTCTATGCGCTTTACACTATATTATTACCCCAGCAGACCATAGAACATTCTGAACATTCTCAGTTTCCCGGGAAGCATACAGTGCAAGTAGCTGATTAAGCGCTCAAACACTAACAAACTGACAAGAGCTTTGGCTGTCTATTGCCGGGTACCCATTCCCACCTGGGTGAAGTGAGGAAAATTTGTGCAAAGTGCCTTTCCCAAGGACACAACCTCGGGCCCCTGACGGGATTCGAACCCACGACCTTACGGTTGCGAGTCCGGGAGCCTAACCACTAGGCCACCGACTTCAGAATCTGTGTTCCTTGAATATTTTTCTGTAACAGTTACATGTTATACTAATTATATTATATGTAATACGCTATTGGACACTGTCATCGTACGCACCTTTCTCTACTAATGAGATGGTGTCTATCTCCTATAAGTGGGTGATTGGCGGGTGCTCTGATGTGGTCTGCTCCTTCTTTTCTATCAAACGTCGATGGTCCTGATCTCCCCTCCTTCTTTTTTGTGAACTTGTTACTCTCTTGAAACGCCTCTATTCTTCGCACTTTATGACCTTATTGTGTTGCAAGTGCTGTAAAACTCTTACTAAAACTAAACTAAATCTCATAGAAATAGGCAAGGGAC